ATTCAAATGTCTTATTAGAAAAGAAACACTCAGAATTAACAAATAAAGCAAGCTAACAAATAAACAAATACAGTGTCAGGTCTTAGTTGGTGATTTCCCCTGGTTCTAGCCTACTTGTTTCCCTTTTTCTTTTCCTTTTTTTTTTTTTTTGGTAATGATTCCATAAGCTGCAAAACCTACACAGACCTCATCCTCCTGATCAAACAACAGAGCAAGTAATCCAAGTCAAACATTCCAGTTACACAATGGACCTAAGCTCAATAATCTTTGCACACAAGAAGATTTACCACGGATGAAGAGCGGCACTTCCTTCCTTATGGTACCAGATTTCAGTCTTCGAAAAATTCAGCTTTTCTTAGATACTTTCTGGCCTGCAACTAATTTAAAACAACTGTCTAGCATAAAAGAAAAAAATATATATAACTTCCATGTTAATATGTTGGTATTTGATTTTAATCCTTGTACATACAACACCGTTAATACACCTGTCCTTCAATACTCTACAATATCCTTGATGATTTGTATCACATATGGGCCAAAAAAAAAGAAAAATCATATAAGATGAAAAAAAGGACTTCCCAATAAAGCATTCTTGGAAAAGGTTACAGGGTTACAGTCTGGATGCTTGTATCATCTATTTGTAAGCAGGAGAGCCCTTCAATCTGAATCTGAATTTAAATTCCTGAGAATGAAAGGTGCAAAATCAGCCACTGGAGAGATCACACTCGCTGATCGGGGCAGGAAGGATTATATTTTTCTTCAGGCACTATTTGGATTATGACATACATGAAGAAGGACTTCCACCTTCAAAAAGCTATTGAGAAACTTGATTAAAATGATTCCACACGCCTTTAATATGTTTTGGAGAGATGAAATCTCGCTCCTCCTACTCACGCACCCAAAGCAATCAGGCAGTTAAGCCATCCAAAAATCATCAGTAAAGTATTGGCCCAGCTGTTCCCAACATATGCAATCCTGCCTTCTGTTTTGTTGCAACAGAATTTCAAATCCAATCTTTGTCTCAAAAAGCAGTAGAGCACAACCTGTATCTCTTGCCTCTCCCTGTGCTCTGTAGATGTGAGCATCCAGCAGCATCTCGCTTTACCTTTGCGGAAACGCTCTGAATTCACCTGACCTTTCTGGGTTCATTCAACACTTCAGACACTGTTCAAGCAGCTTTTTCTCTTCCCTAATCCCATGAGACCACAGGCGTGGGGAATACCAGCACCAGCTTGTGTCAGCTAATTAGCCAGTAATTCTTTTGGCATAAATGTGGCAAGACACATAGCCTAAGACCTTTACAGGGAAATATAGAGTCAATTTTAATCTGAACCAGTTCTCAGAATATCAGGAAGTCACCCATGTCACCAGCTAATTAAGGGGGTAACTTCATCTACAGTCAGTCTGAGAGATGTTTGAGTCCTAACTATAAAGATTCACAGCTAATTTGTTACAGGATCATGCGATTACACTTATGAGAGTTTGTATGACAGGTCACAAGTGGGTGTTTTCATAAAAAAGAATTGTTGTTGACCTACCTGGACCTTAAATAGAACAATTATTCTAATGCTGAATCACTTCAAAATCACTGAGCCTCAGCTCCTTCCATAAAAAATAGCACTAGTAACACTGAACATCTCTCCTTTGCTATTTTTGATTAATAGCTGGCAAGGCACTCAAACACCCCTTCCCCTCTCCTGTTACATTGCCTTTCGCCATCACATCACAGGTCTTGCTTCAAGTGAAGGTTTTAATAGGACAGGAAAATAAGCCTTTCCTTCCCCAGACAAGAAAGCAAATGTGTCCATTGTAAACCACCAACATAGGACCACTGGGCTTGGCAAGCCCAGGAAAAGTGTTAACTTTGTTCAGTGTTAGATTCTTGGAGCTAGGTCCCAACTCAAACACCAATCTGAGTTTAACTTCAAGTCAAAATATCAAGCTAGACAGTTTGGGGAGTCCAAGATTTCTCACTGAGTTGCTCAACAGGCCCAGATTTCTTAAAATGGACTCCCTTTCCTCAGCTCATTCTAAGCCACCCTAATTTTCTGGATCCCCTGCCAAAAACACACATCATCACCACACCTTGGGTGAGTAAAGCTGAAGGCCCAGTGCCAGGTGTTGCAACCACCAAAAACCAGTCCATGGAATACACCAGCACAAACTGCACTGCATCTGTTATATGTTCCTGGAACTGTAAAAGTAAATCTTGAAAATCTTTAAAACACTTAAAAGATACTTAGCAAAAAAATTTCATCAATTTTTTAAAACCCCATTTCATTATACATGGAGGACTGGAAGGGGAATCAAGACAGCCAGCATGGGTTCACCAAGGAGACAAGTCTTGACTGACCAACGCAGTGGCCTTCTATGATGGAGTGACTACATCAGTGGACAAGGGAAGAGCTACGGATGTTGTCTATCTGGACTTCTGTAAGGCTTTTGACACAGACCCCCACAACATCCTTCTCTCTAAATTGTAGAGGTATGGATTTGATGGGTAGACTGCTGGATGAGGAATCGGTTGGATGGCTGCATTCAGAGGGTAGAGGTCAATGGCTCAACATCCAGATGGAGATAGGTCACAAGCAGTGTCCCTCAGGGGTCCATACTGGGACCAGTACTGTTTAATATCTTCATCTAAGACATAGACAGTGGAATTGAGTGTACCCTCAGCATGTTTGAAGAAAACACCAAGCTGAGTGATGTGGTGGACATGCCCAAGGGATGGGATGCCATCCAGAGGGACCTGGACAGGCTGGAAAAGTGGGCCTGTGTGAACCTCATGAAATTCAACAAAGCCAGGTTCAGGGTTGTGCTCTTGGGTTGGTGCAACCTCCAGTATCAACACAGAAGAAATTTTTTACAGTGAGGATGATGCGGCACTGGAACAGGTTGCCCAGAGAGGTGGTAGATGGACCATCTCCGAAAACATTCAAGGTCAGGTTAGACAGAGCTCTGAGCAGTCTGACCTAGTTGAAGATGTCCCTGCAGGGGAGGTTGGACTAAATGACCTTTAAAGGTCCCTTCCAACCAAAACTATCCTATGATGCTATGATTATTGTTTAAAAATAAACTTGTGAACACCACTGAGCTGTCAGAGTGACATCTTTTTCTTCTTTGCTCACAGAAAACTATTGCTGTCTTACTGGTGAAACATTACATCAATTTATCCTAACCAAGGGCAAGAAAAACAGGTGAAAAACTGACTTTCTGGTTAAGAAGGCAGAGTTGAAAAAGCAAGACTTATCAGTAACTGAGAAAAAATAAAAGAAAGAGTTGCTGGACTTGACTACCTTAGATCCGTGAAAAGGAGATGCAAAGGTTACTGCCAACAGTTTCCTCTTTTGAAGGGAGGATTACTGGTTTGATTCATATTGCAGCAAAGCTTGACAGGAGCATTAGGGCATGCTGCAGGCATACAGATGGATGCACTTCCTATTTATTTTTTTTTTAATACTCACACCGGTGTAATCCATAAATGCAGTAGGAAACAGAAAAGACTGATGAAAACATAGACGCATATACAGTGCCAACCAAATGCTGCACTCTCTGTTTCTGAATAAATAACCTGATGTTTGCAAATACCAGTATTTGGACTTATAAACCTCTTGTTATCATCCCAGTCATCTGCATGCTTAAAAGCAGTTTCCTTCCATTTTTCATCTTCCACTGTTGAAGTGGCAGCTTTCCTTTCATCCTTCCTCAAAGGTCATTAGCAAAGCTCATGGACGCCTTTGTTCCCTCAATATTTGATTTCTCAGTATCAGGAGCAATAAGCATTTTTTTCCCCAGATCAACTCACTCAAACCAAATCCATAAAACTTAATTAAAAAAAAAAAATCATACTTCAATGACTGCATTTATAAGACTCTTATTTTTAATAAGATTATGCATGCGTACTTAGTATTTGAATGGTAGCTATTACACTGTATGTATATTGATATATACAAGAGAAAATAAGATCTAAGAATGACCAGTTAAATATATTTTCTTAAATAAGCATTTATCTAAAATAAGAATGAAAGTGCTGTGAACATTACCCTGTCTGTGTTTCACATGGCAGCGGGAATAAAACTGTAGCAGCAGCAACACACTGACCATTATTCCATTGCAGAAGTCAAAGGAGTTGGTATTGCAAATTTTGTTGCTATCACGAATATCTGTGAGCTCGCAACAGATTAATAAAGAAGACATGGTTATGGCCAAAGGCCAGGCTGTTAAAACTGTTTTTCCAAACCCACTAAGTGTAGGATTTGAAAACTTAATCACTAGCCTCAGCTTCAAAATCTACTTGGTAGGCAGTAGTTCAGAGAAGTTCAGCAAAAATGGATGCAGTCAGATGACTTTTATCAGACAGTTGGCAGAAAAAAATCACGTTGTTGCGTCTTGATCACTTTGGGGTAGTCCATCAAAAATGAAGACTCAGTGCAACAAGCAGCCACTCAGGTAAATTCACTGAAGGTTAGACTTCTGCCCAGCAGATGGATACTGAGAAAACAGAAGACATCATGTGCAGTTCCATTCTTCTTCAGCCTTTCTTTTCCTGGTGCAAATATTTTTGTATCTGGTTTGCTCCTTACTGTCACAGAGATCTGTGAAAGAGGCAAGGCTTTGCTTGATCTTTGCTTTGTTTTCTGGTTCAAAGACCACATACCACCAAGATTTGCCTCCAAATCCAGCACAGACATTTGTGAAGTTGAAATCTCATTCTTATATGGCTATATATCCAAAATATATATCCTTTAGCTCTACAAGGGCCTTTCTATTCCCTAAAACAGTGAATACAATTTTTAAAAGTAATCCTGATTTGCTAATTACTTCACTGCCAGAACCAGCATTAGTCCTCACACATAGTACTGAATAAAATACATAATTTCCTTTTTCAACAAGCTAATATGGATGTTCATTCTGTATGCATTCATGTTCCCTGAATATTTACTAGTCCATTACTAAAACATTTGTATATGTCCTTCTGATGAGATTTGTCAAAATACACTTTAAGAGAGTTTACACGACTGAGGTGACGAACAGTTCTTAACTCGCTTCTTTCGTTCCACTGCAGTTCGCAAAGCCTGAAGAATTAAATGTTTATTATTCAGGATGTTGTAGCTGCACAGGTTCAGCAACTTGTTGAAATTCTCCTCAGTGTATGTAAGCAGGCCAGTGCCATAGGGAGCAACACAGTTGGACACATCTACTCTTCCTTGTTCCATCTCCGTGGGACTGCGTTCCACGTCTGAATAAGAAAGTAGCAAAGTTCAACACAGCAATATTACTGAGGTGAAAGACACCGACCAGACAATGCCAAAAACACAGTAACAGCCACCAGAAACTGAATTCTCCCTGGAAAACGGTTCAAGATTTAACTGGTGCATAGACACTACATCTGCTGCATTAATAAAATCTACCACTTCACTGCTCAATGACAGCCAGAACTGATCCAGAATTGACTGGCAGAACAATTTTCCATGCAAAACACTTTCCTCTCTAAATGCAAGTTTTCCATCAGAACATTTCACTTTTGCAGATTTGGAATTTTGTATTTTTAGGTTTTCCATTGGGTACTGAGATGACAACTCCTTATCTACCAGCTGGTAGAAAATGACACCAAGAAGCTCCTGGGTTGGAAATTCTCCCTCTCAGGTGGCTGAGATTTTAAGCACATGCACCAGGACAAATAAGATGATGGCCTACATGAGGTCTTTTTCAATAAGCTGGGACATAGATTTTTGTTCAGTTTTTGGGGAAAATCCCCTAGATCATACTAAATTAGCAATAAGAAGATTGAAGTTGATACTTGCACAAGTATTTGTAAACTGAAACTGAATCTGCCAAGTAGTTTTTCAGGTGAAACAACAACAACAACAAAAATTCACCGTTTATTTTACTGCGGAACTAAAGAAAATAATCGGGCAACTTTTCAAAAATGATAGATATCAAAGCAGCTTGTTATCCTGGCAAATCCTTTGCTTCATTATAACTTCCGCACTTTCACTTCTCAAAGTAACAAGAGGATTCTAGCTTTGTTAACAAAGTAAATGTAGAACCTCATTACAAGACTTAAGAGACATTGTTAGCTACCAGTGGATATAACTTAGTAGCTGCCTCCCCTCCTTTATTATCAAAGGAAGACAAACTCCCAGATGCCAGATAAGGGGCTTTGCCTCAAGCTACAGCTGCTCGTGCTTTTAATTCTGAAACTCTTCAGTTCAGTCCCAGATTAGTTGGCCAATACTATACCCACCACACCAGGACTGGGAATACGATCACTTAGCCAACTGGGAAGCCTGCCAGTCTCTTGTTTTAGAAGAGGAGCAAATTCAATATATAAACTGGATTCAACAACCTCAAAAAATGATCTTAACTTACTCGGTGCCTTGTATTTTTGGAAGGTATCACACACCAGTGGGAAATAGGCCACGATTGGTGCCTCTAAGTTGTCCTTAAACACGTAGCACTCCTTCAGGTGTTCCCGGTCTTCCTGGCTCAGGTCTGTGCCGGGGAACGGGATCCCATGCTCCAAACAGTACTCTGAGAATAGGTCCAGCGGCTGATTCAACAAAGAGGAGAGTTGGAACAACTGATATTTTGCTGCCCTAGGCAATCTGTAATTGATTTACGTATTTACAAATAAGGCTAACTATGCACTGGAACAAGCATATCCTCTTGATTTTAATATATCCTGGGTAACAGAAATTTGATTCATTTGCTAACGCTGTACATTTTTAAAGCAAGATTACCGTTTTCTGAAATGTTAAGAAATTCTGATCATTTTTGTGATTTAGTGGGCACAGTAGAGGATTTGGATCAGGAAATTTTGATTACACATGGTATCTCAGATCACAAGTCCACAGAATCACAGAATTGTAGGGGTTGGAATGGACCTCTGGAGATCATCTAAGTCCAACCTTCCTGTTAAACTGTTGGCATTCAGTGCATCTAACAATCAATGTCTTCATGTCCTCTGACAAATAAATTACATTCCTTTCAATCATATATGCCCCTCAATGTCTCTTCAAACACAGCAAAACAAAAACCTGACTGAAACTTATGCAAATACCAAGAGTCAAACATGAAAGAAAACCTCAAAATTTTCATTCAAAAATAGCAAAATTATGTATTAACTAATCACATTGTAAAAGTTATTTAATGAACTTTTGTGGAACAAATCTGCAGATACACAGAAGAGGTAATCTTCTATCTGTCTGTTTTCATGACTGTGTCCCAGAAAGCTACTGAAAATAGCCCCAATAAAGACAGTGACTTTATGGTCACTGATATGATCATTTAACTTAATAAAAACAAGCCTATTTTTAGAAAAAAAAGAAAAAGAAAAAAGAAAAACTAAAAGAAAAAAAGAAATACGGTAAGTCAGCTGCCGGAGTCATACAGATAAAGAATCACTACTTCAAAACATCACCAGAGTCTGTGATCCTCCGCTGTAATTTAAATGCAGAATGACATCCACTTTCCTCTCTGGCCTCAGAATGGGCGGGCAGCTGGTGTTGATGAAGAAAGCTGTATCTACCAGCTTCAGGTAATCACCCATTTCATTCATCTGGTTGGGAGAAGAATCCAGCACTGTGTCTGCAAGTCAAAAACTTATATTACCAATTAATTACCGCAGGACTAAGTCCAGTTTTTCCCCAATCAGCATAATAAGGAAAGAAAGAAAAGGCAGCCCACTCCAATATTTGTCTTTGACACAAAGCCCAGTTAATTATTTGTCTTTGACACAATTTTAGCATCTATAGCTCAACTCTGAGATCAGTAAGACGGAGCAGTTCTGGTACTCAGCTTCATCCAAAGTGATATATCAAGCTGCTTTTTCAACTAGTGTAAATTTGTGGCTACCTAGCTTCAGTGGAAGCTGCAAGTCATTCTTTTCCTTTCCTAGGCTTTTCCTAGGAAGAACAGAATTCATGCAAGCCTGCTGTGGCTTTTCCAAGACAGAAACAAGATCAGCAGTAAGTCATCTGGGACAGCAAAACAAATTCTACAAACCTACTAATCAAATCATATTAATCAAAATTTGCCTTTATGCTAAAACTTATCCAGTATTCGTCCTTAGCAAGTATCAGCACTCAAATCACCTTCAAAGATATATCTAAAACAATTTGCTGTTACCTTTCCACATGCAAAATCTCTCATTCTCTAAATACTTGTTATGTAGCTGCAAGCCCTTGAGGAAATTATGGTAAGTTGAAACCACTGGCCGTCCGGTCATCATTTCTCGAAGAGTACTGGAAAGGTAACCTTTGGGAATGGATAAGCAAGTTGGCTGTTCATGAGGCTTCCTGGGCAGAGCAGGGTGTTCCTCTGTAGGAAGAATGAGAAAAGAGTCTATGTCTGCAATTTGTTTAAAGTGTTTCTCTGATACAAAGAATAACAAAGAAAGAAGGGCTGGGCAGCCAAACCACCATGGCCCCATCTGTGATCAACTGCAGACAGATTTGGGCAGAGGTGGGTTTCAGCGCCACAGCATCACCTTGTTGTTCCCTCCCCAAGGACTCATGGCAACCCTCTTGTGACTAACAAAACTCCCCATGGACGTTGCACAGTGAGCAGCACAATGTTTTTTCCTGTTTTCCCTTCATTCCCAAAGGCTTGGTGTCACCTAACCCAAAAACAGGACACAAAAACAAACCCTTTACCAAATGTCAGGCTTCATATTTCAGAAAGGTGTGAAGACAATGCAGATGCAAGTGAAAAGTAATCCAAATAACTAACCAATGTTACGCTCAGTGCCTCGGGTCCATCTGTGCCAAAAGTCCTCGGAATGACCCGAGAGGTAGACAGCATCCATAAAATTCTGGGAAAATATATTACTCCATGTGCCTTGAAAGTTTAAAAAAAAGAAATAAAAAGAGCCATACTTAGTACTACTTTGAATTTTTAGAACACAGCCATAGCTACCAATAAAATAAAAAGAGCCATAGTTAGTACTAATTTGAATTTTTAGAACACAGCCATAGCTACCTACTTGGATTCAGTCTCTGTGGTTGTTTAAATTAGCACTGGTTTAGTTATGAAATGTTATGAATTTTATGAATTTATGAATTTTAGTATTCCATGCCATTCCACATAATGTATGGCTTATGACTACACCATTTTAGAAACTTGGCTGGTTTATAAGAATTATGAATTTTAGTATGAATACCAAATTCCATGCCATTCCACATAATGTATGTATACCATTTTAGAAACTTGGCTGGTTTATAAGAGTCAAACTGTGATTTTAAATACTTCAAAATATCAGTTTAATGTGTATGCTCTGTTTTGGTCTAACCTAAGTAGTTCAGCAAATTAATTGCATCTGTATCAAGAATTTTCTTCCTCTTCTGTCACTTTTAGCTGGTTCATTTGAGATTTAAATTACATCAGATACATTATCTGGTGCACTAGTATTGCTGCTCGCAGACCAGTAGTCATTGAATGCCAACTCTGTTTCACCAATTATGTGGTGACAAAGCATATGTTTTTCTGAATAACGAATCACCTTCCAAGAAGCAGATGCGGGACTCTGGAATCTTCTTCATCAGGTGACCCATGAAGAACTCACTCCCAAAATCCTCTGAACGAACAAAGGCTCCATATTTCAGGAAACCCACCTCATAAGGTGTGAACTCCACCCACTCTGCAAACAAGGCATCAAGAAGGACTTATTGCAGTCACCTGAACACATGTGAAAATAACAGCTTAGAGAATCAAAAGCTGGAAGAATAAGGCCTGTAGCTTCAGCATGTTGGTGACAGACAGTCCAAACCACCATGTTTTGAAACAGACAGGTTTGTATTGTATGTTAGACCAGTGAAAGCAAAAGCTAAATATATTTCCTCCACTGACACTGTGAAAATCCATTCAGCTTGGGGTTCAGGTCCATTTCTGTACCAGGAAGCAAAAATCAGGTCTAAAAGTCCATTGATTGCTAAGGCCCAGCTCAAGATGTGGCACTTTTAGTTCTTTTAAGTCAGCAACAACACCAGCTACCATTTGTTCTTAAGACTCTGATAATATCTGCCTCGTGAAACTCTGACCATAACCCACCCAAACCTTGGCTGAACGCACTGGGACTGCAGATTGTGCATAGAAGCAGATGACCAGGTTCAGTTGCAGGACCTCCTGCTTTATTTGGGCCAGAACATACCATGGAAGGAGTGAGAGATCAGCAACACTGATGAGAGCACAGGGGGCAGCTCCTCCTCAGATCCCTCTCTGGCTGCTGGCAGCTGCCTTCCCCTATCATCCCCCTCCACATCTTCCCTTGTCCTCCCTTCCTTCCCCTTCTCCCCCAGCTCTTCACAGCTCTCTTGGACTACTGCTGGTTAGGGAGGAACACCAACAACTGAAAGGGGCTGTGAGGACTAGCTGGGGACCAGAGAGAGAAAGAGCAGCAGTGGTGACTCTCAAGGCTGCAAGCACAAGGCATCTCTGCCCCCCACAGGGCAGTGTCTTCACACAGGTATCTCCCTCACATAGTATTAGGATGCACGTTTTTAATCCAAGTCAAAACCCAGACGTGAAGACAGGGGGAAAAGAAATTATTCAAAAGATTTATTAGCTTGCACTTACTATAAAAGCTTTTGGCATTCACCCAGCATTAAAGGGAAACTCCTTAGATTTACAGAAGAGCATATAGTAATCATTACCTTTAAAATCCAGAGTGCTAAAGTCATTCTTGACGTTGAGGGACAGGTATATGGGCAATGGATTCTGCCCCTGATTTACTGCCAGTTGCTGGTCAGAGAGCTTGTGAGTACTTTCCTGTTTAGAAAAAACAGGAGTCATTGTAAAAGATGAATATGATGCATGGATTTAATGCGGAATTTAAGCTGGTAGATAAGTACCAATGAAACCTCTTCTAAACCTCAGCAGATTTTGTTCTGAGTACTTCAGTTCTTTGCCCACAGAAATGTTTTCATGTGTCACCTGTCATCAACCTTCACCAAAGCATTATCACTGATGCTTCCAGGGATTTTGGAATGGGGCACAGAGTGAAAATGTGACAAACTTGTCTGCACAGTCACTAGGATATGACTTGCTTTAAGGAAAGACAAAGATACTGAGCTACCTTGGAAGTGCTGCAGATGAAAGTCAACCAGGGTCTATTTCACTGAATACAGCTCTGTTTGCTGGTATGGCTATATATTGCTATGCCTGGACTTAGCTCTGTCAGAGCCACCTCTCCTCTGTATGTTACTAGCATGCTCATTTGATCTGAAATTAAAGATGGAAAATCAGTTTCATTAACACTTTGACTGTTTAGATGCTCAGACATTTCCCTAAGTTGCTTATTTTTTCAGCTGTATTATTTTTTCTTCTAAAAAGCCCAAGAAAGATCCCTCAGAAGTTTTTAGAGACTTTCCTATAGCTGAATCCAGAACTTTAGACATGAAAGGTTTGAAATTCTCTGGAATAAGGGATGGATATATAATACCTGATCATGTAGCATACAGTCAATGAAGAGTCCCCATAAATCTGTAAAGGACAGCTTGTGCCCCTCTTGCTTTCTTTCACAAAGCTCCTTTTCATAGTATTTCATATGATCCAATGAGAAACAGTGCAGCTTGCTCTTGATGACATGCTTTCTGATATCACCAATTGGCTCTCTGAGATCCTTCTGTGACCAATTTGTATCTTCATATAACTTTGCCATGGTCCTAGTAAAAAGAAACATACCGTGGTTCATCACTGGGTACATTCATGGGCTTATACCACCATAAGCATTTTATTTCAAGGTACACAAGGCTCTCAGCCTCCAGCTTTTACCTTGGAATTGCAGCTTAAAGCTCAGGCAGAATTTAGATTATACAATGATATTTTTGCTGCAGGGATACATTCAAAATCATCCTAGCTTGTTTCTTCTCAGAATCAAAAGAGTAATAAAACAACGCCCATAACTTAACTGAAGCTTTTACTAGAATTGCCCTTTGATTGTCCAGGTTCAAGCCACAGCTTCTGTCTGAGGCCAGTTCCCTGAGCTGTTTCAGACTCCCAGTGAAACGTTCAGCAGGAGTTTAGCAGCAAGCACTGCCCTGGAGAAGTGCAAGAGCTCCCCTCCTTGGGCACGCAGCATGTGGGTCCACCTCAAACATGGCACACACAGGGCCAGGCTGCTTGAGACCTCAGCTCCCAGAGTTCGGTTGGATTCCAGTCACCCCTTCTCATCCCCACACCATTTTTTCTCCTGTATCTTTTTAGAGCGGCTCTCCAGAAGCAGAACATTTTAAAGCCCTAGACCCCTGCAAGTTGTGCAAGGCAGTCAACATTGTGGGCACGATACTCTGTGTTTCTCAGGGCTTTTCTTTCCAATCCTCTTTTTCAGAACCGCTTAAGAATTCATAGAATCATATGGGGTTGGAAGGGACCTGCCACCCTCTTCTCATCTATCCAACCAGTCATGCCATCATAGAAAGCTATCAAGTTAGTCTGACTTGACTTCCCCTTGGTAAATCCATGTTGACTACTTCTGATAGCTTTCTTTTCCTCCATGCTCTGAGATGGCACCCAGGATGAGCCATTCCATGACTTTTCCAGGGATGGATGTGAGGCTGACCAGTCTGTAATTTCTCAGGTCTTCCTTCTTGCCCTTTCTGAAGACTGGGATGACATTGGCTTTTCTCCAGTCCTCGGGCACCTCACCTGTTCTCCAGGACCTCTCAAAGATGATGGAGAGTGGTCCTGCAATGACTTCTGCCAGTTCCCTCAGCACTCTTGGGTGTATCCCATCCAGACCCATGGACTTGTGGATATCCAGCCTTCTTAACTGATCAGACAGTTAAGAAGGCCAGACAAATCTTACCAGAGGATTGCTGAAGTGTTACATGCAGCTAGATAACCCCAGAGACACACAAAAGGACTTTCTGTATTACAGAAATACAGTAGTTCTCACACTATTTCTCTTGTAGCTAAAGGAGATAAGGGCTACAGCACTGAGCGGTCCCATGAAATGGGTTAGCACTAAAAGGAAGCCAAGCATCAGGAGTCCCAGCATCACGCTGAGTAAAATTCGTCAGCAAGACAATATGCTTCACCAGGTTGTCACTCTGCTAACACAAACAACAAGCACAAGCCTGATGATCCTTACCATGTTGTGGCAGACAAACCACTGATGTACGAGACACAGTCCAAAACACCAGACTCCTGGAGACCCAGCAGACTGCCAAACATAGCCGACATGGACCGCACTCCCCCTGCTGTGGTCATGACTGCCACCACTGGCACCTGCTCAACACACAAAGGCACAGAGTCGCTCATTACTAGATGAAATAGAGAAGTGATGGGCATGCAGGAAAAGTAAAAGTAAGTAACACCCTGATTCAAGTAGGTTTGGACCCAATTCACCTTCTTCATGTCTGCGCTTAGGTGTATGTTTAAGCTGTGTAAATTCTGGTGGGACTTGGTGCATGCTGAAAGCATCTTCCTGATCAGTGATGCATGTCTGTGCTTAGGTGCATGTTTAAGCTGTGTAAACTCTGGTGGGACTTGGTGTATGCTGAAAGCATCTTCCTGATCAGTGATGCTTTGGTAACTCAGAAGCTGTAAGGATGGCTCTTGTATGGCATAATCTATTTTCAGATTCATAAAGAGTCTTTTCCTTATGGTTTTTGATTTTTTCTGACATCTTTCCCTCAAAACACATTTTAAAATCCTGAGTAAAACTGAGGTCAGAGAAGCAGCTCTTTTTTCCTACTCTGTGCCAAAAATTCTTGAGTATGGTCTTAGGTCCAAGTGACAATCTGGCCTGTACATTTAAGTCTAGAAGATTGGTAACTCAGAAGCTGTAAGGATGGCTCTTGTATGGCATAATCTATTTTCAGATTCATAAAGAGTCTTTTCTGTATGTTTTTTAATGTTTTCTGACATCTTTCCCTCAAAACACATTTTAAAATCCTGAGTAAAAGTGAGGTCAGAGGAGCAGCTCTTTTTTCCTACTCTGTGCCAAAAATTCTTGAGTATGGTCTTAGGTCCAAGTGACAATCTGGCCTGTACATTTAAGTCTAGAAGATGTGGAAGATCTATATACAAGTACATTATATTCACTTCGTTCAAAGCGGGACAGAATACTTTCAGTTCCCAAGATGTTCATGGAAGACCTATATACAAGTACATTTCATTCACATCATTCAAAGCGGGACAGAATACTTACAGTTCCCAAGATGTTGTCCCACATACCTCATCCTCCTGCAGGTCTTCATCTAGATGAAGAAGATTTTTCAGAGCAGCAGCAACTACCTTCTTCCTTTTACAGATGAAATCCTGCTCCTCTGCGCATAGATCAAACCCCAAACGCAAATCTAAATTCTTGCAACTAGAGCACAAGAACAGAACAAGACATTATCTGTAAGATGGTATAGAGATATCACAGGCCCTATGGATATTTTAGACCAGAATCATGTCTTGAATTATTTCACACAACCATAAGGAAGTTAAATGAATAAAATTCTCTCCTAATGAAAAACAAAGAACATAACTAAACATTACCTATAAGCCGTTTCTAGAGCTACTGCTTGAGACATCAAGCAAAACCAGCAACAACAATAAACCAGCTTAAAGAAAGGCTATTTCCACGCATATGAAGGTTTCCCTATGGAAATGAAAGAAGGTATACGGATATCACAGGCCCTGTGGATATTTTAGACCAGAATCATGTCCTGAACTATTTCACACAATCATAAGGAAGTTAAATGAATCAAATTCACTCCTAATGAAAAACAAAGAACATAACTAAATTCAAGCTGTTTCAACTGAGCTCTAAAATTTGGACACTACTTCAGGTTCTCTTGCTTTGTATGTGTTTCCTGAAGAGCGGAGAGGGCCAAAGCAGTTAATTAAAATTAAAATGCTTTAGACAAGGTGACCCTAACACCGTGTCAGGCTTCTCTCTTCTAAGAATTTGTGCTGGAAATACTTGAGTCAGAAAACAACTCTTAAGTGTAACCCTTCATATCTGTCCCTGATTTTTAACACCATATGCATCATTGATTCTCTGTTTTCACAGTGCTACTGTTTCAGGTTTTTTTCAGCCAAAAGGTTATTTTGTCCCTTCTGTGACTTATAATTAATATTCAGTGAAAAACCTCTTATCATCTGTCTGCAATTAGTGCTTGCAATGTAGCTAACTAATCAGTAGGTGGTAATGTTGCCCTTCAGAAAATCACTGCAAGCCAGTCAATAAATTAATTACTATCCACTTGTTCCATTGAAAAATGACCTGCAGAGGACTGGTAGATGTGTAACAGTGCTAGAAACATGTTAGAAATGAGTTTCACATGTGCATGTATTACAGATAGAGGTTACAAGACAGAAGGATTATTAAGTATCAAAATTAGGAAGCATCAACATTGGGAAAAACATCGTGACTGGTTATACTGCATGACTACCTGCCACCTATTCTATGCTAAACTCTTACCAACCAATTTAAAAGCACGTATCATTTTATCAAAACTACCTCATATTTTAGTCTTCTTTAACCAATTACAATGTTTATTCCTGGTTTTGAAAGGAGCTAGTTTAAGCTGCAACTTCTTTTCATCATGATACTAGGAAAGGATAGGAGATGGCTTAAGTAATCATTCAAAAAGTGTAAAATATTTACCCATCTTCCTCCTTCACAGACACCTCATAAGATTCACCCTGAGAATCAAGAAGGAAAACACCATTAATTCTAAATAGAATTGAAAGTTTGCAAAGGCAATTTTTACAGTATTAGCAATTATTCAGATATATAGTCTAATGATAAATCTTTGGTGTCTTCTCAGGCCTTCTGCACACAAACATCACTAGTATCTTGCTTTTAAAATACTTCCAAAGCAATCAGCAATTCTGGATATGTTGCTTTTCCCTAAATACTAGTTATACTTTAAAGTGTATGCAGAGCTGAGCATACATATAGCTCAGCTAGGACAATTCTAATAACAAAATTAATAATAGAGCAGGTATCACATAGATATAGCTTACACTTGTTGAAATAATTCCAAGCCCTGTGAAAGGTTACTCACTCTCATCACTGTCACTTTCTTCCCCAAGTCCAGAGAATGGAGAGGCACAGCCAGTGGACTACTTACATCCATTTCCCTCCTAGCTGAGCCACACTAAATTAAAGTGGGAAAAAACAAACTGTTATAAGGCGACAAATATTTACAAGCCATAGGTATGCATCTACCAGAAAAAGGTTAATTCATCATGCTTGTCCCAAAAGTTAGTTTAGCTGTTACCACTGTCCACAAGCAAAACATACATGACAGAAGAAACGCTCCTTGGGTGGTGTGATGTACAGTCTGGGTTGACTGTGCTTGACGTAGTGGAACACAGCAGTTTCACTGCTTCCCTGTCTGCAGTGAGGGCCTATGGAAACATCCCGGGCTCCTTCATAGGATCCTTTCATTGTGAACGTGAAATCTCTCCCTAAGAAGAAGCAGCAAATCACAGAGAAATGTTAACTAGCCCTGAAAAATCACAAATAGAAATAGTCCAAGTTTCAGCCTTTGTGCAGACAACATTAATTTGGGCCACAATGTTTTTCCTCTCCCATAATCAATATGAACAAGGGACAGACTAAGCAGCCAAAGGCTGGTGCACCATTGCAACTTCTCCCCCACCAAGCAAGAGGGAGCGTGTGTTAGACCAGTGAATGGTCCCCTGAGTTTCCACCCTAGCCTTTCCACTCCTCATAGCTGTGTCTCCCCTCTTCTACTTCCTGTTCTCATCACAGGATCTTCAGTTCCATCACACTGCAGAGATGTTTCTGAGTCTCCCAGCCACCTCCACAGTTTCCCTTAAGCTACACTGTCACACCACCTCCAGAGGATTCTATTAGCAAGCAGGTAATTCAGGAAACACCTCAATCCCCAAGCAGCCCTGATACAAACAGAGGTGAAAACTAGATGAAGCACCTCCTATAGAACAAAAAGCAGTGACAAATTATTTAAATCAATAACCTCACTTGTGTAAGGGCTCTGCATTTTTGCTTCATTCACATTTACTTCCAAACAGGAAACTTCACGAGACTGGAAGAGACAAGCAACAAAATCACTGGTCACAGAAACAGTTCAGGATCCTCACTGAGGGCCTAGGTGTCTTGTGGAGACACCAGGCTTGGCCATGATGTCCTGTGAATATGAAGAAATTACAGAGGCTGATTCTCCTGTATAAGTCATGCAAGCAATACTGTGGTCAAAGGAGCTAAGATAACTGAGGATCTGTCCCATCACATTTAAATACCATTCAATCCCCAACATCAGGAATTTTTGTTCCCATCTAGGCCGTGCTTTAACTTTTGCCTACAGAAGAGTGAGCTGAAGGATAACACACGAGCATCACACAGTACTTTGGACATGATGTGAAAAGCCTTTGGTTTCAAGGTAGACATTCAGTAATAAACTCTGTAGTGGCACTGGATTCATTCCCTTCCCAAGTTTTCTTGTTTGTCACCACTTCATCAGTCAGCAGCTCACTGGCACTGTGGCACAGCACTGGTCCAAGCCTCTCCCAACACAGAACACACTACAAGCATGACCAAATTCAAAACTTTACAACCACACCCTGTCTCATCTGAAAAAGAGTAAAGGCTATGCCTAGAGGCATAGTTCTTCCAACCACATCCTTCAGTTCTGCCCTACCATAAGGACATAAGCATAAAAAAATAAAAGAATTACCACTAGTACGCCATTAGTAATGATGTTCTCAGATACACCTGGACTGAAAAGCAAAAAGGAAAAGGTTTATTTAAGAGTGGGTATATAAACAATAATCTTTTAAATGCAAATAGTTCTCTGAGCTCGGTTTTTTCTCGTTGCCAAGTGCCATCAGCACTTCTATCTTTCACCTCTGTGCTCACTGCCAGGTCACAGGAACACTACCTCTCTTCTTACCTCCCCTGATCAGCACCATCTCTCCTCAGGCTGAATCACAAAATCAATACACACCCTCAGCTACAAATAGTAAGTGAGACAGTCGCTCAAGCTGGGATTTCACCAGATTGAGGAGAGAAAAGCAACCATAGGGAAGATGCTGAGACAGAATATTTGAGCACACGTACATGTAGCCACTTCCCCAATGTCACATTACCACTCTCTTTAAAAATATAAAGTTTTCTGATGACAAATCCTGTAACACTTAGGCTTTACTCACATGTTTTCCAGCAGAAATTCCACTTCTAGTTCTTCTTGATTCTGAAAATAAGATTTATTTTTTCATTTAAGGAAAATGAACAAATAAAATATTTTCCTTTGATAGAGCTCTGAAAATTTTGACTAACCCTCCTTGCAAGATTTTGCTATTCCCACACTCCCTGTATCATGATGCAAATGGACAGAGCCTTCTTCAGCAGCCCTTTCGTTTCAGCTCACTGTTCACAGCTCTACTGTTTACAAGCCAACTGTCCTCCCGAGGGGAAGGAGAGAGTAAGTATCATGGAATAGGGGATGAAGGTCACTTATTAGGAGGATGAGACATGGGTCAATGAGTGGCAAGGAAGGGAGGTATAACAGGTGAACGATGTAGAAGAACATACTTGAGAATAAATGGACCTAGGTGCTGAGTATGTCTGGGTTAAAGCAAAAGAATTTGCAGAGTATAATGACTAAACATTAAAAAAAAAAAAAAAAAAAAAAAAA